CTCCGACGAGACTTCTAACGACTTCCAAACTGAATTCTGACTCCGTAGATGGCTTCCGGACCCCTCGTTTACTCTAAACCGAGCAATGAAAGGTGGTTTCCTCCATTTTTCTTCTCTCCTCATTTCTTTCTTCCAAATGGTTTTTGGTTCGCTCAAAGCAGAGGAAGAAAAATGAGAAGAAGAAGACTCTCCATGCTTCTGTATTATTGCGTTCAAAAGTCGATGGATAAGGTTAGGTGACTACCAAAATCTGGAAAAATAATTGATCTTCTCCCTCTCTCCGTCGGTGCAAAATGCATTAGTTGGCTTGAGATTTAGGTCTCAAGATTAATACGCAGAAGACTCCTTATTAGCATGCACAGAACGTATGCAGTCTAGTGGTGTAATGCTTGTCTCATTGCCATGAGGTCATTCTTTCGATCCTAAGCTGCGCATATATTTTTTTTGTTTTTTTTTCTGTTTGGCGCGGCTTCCGCTATTTAATTCATAACTCTTTCGTTAGACATCAGAATTCATCCCCGTTTGCGCCTACGCGTTCGTATTTTCATCATCTATTAAGATTCATTCATATTGCATTTATTTACCAATCTTATCTCGTATCCAATTGACAAAAGTCGTGATTCTTTGTTCAAGTTGAAACTCAGGATCTTTTCCATAATGGTTGAACTTCCTCCTTTCTCCATCAAACCGAAATGGTTTACAAGTTACCCAAAGTTTGGGATGTTACAGCCCATCTATCTATCTATCTATCTATCTATCTATCTATATCGATACTAAATATTATGGCTATTCAAAAATAAATTCTTGCCACATAATCACTTGGTGAATGCACAAGTTGTCAAGGTGGACAATTGTTTTTCAAACAAAAAACTATTTATTGATCTATTTATGAAGTTGTCTCTCTCTCATTTTAATAATTCTACTCATTTTTACTAAAATTAAAATAAGTTAATTTTTTAGGAAATATTTAAACAAAAAACACACACCTAAGTAATAAAAAAAATTCGATTAAACAAACTATAAAGATGGAAACAAAGAGTGACATATATTGTATTTGTTTAACCTAAGCTGATTAAATCTGATTAAGTAAATTTTCTACTATTTTTACTAAAACTTAATAATAAGTTACATTTTTATGAAGAAAAAAAAAACAAGCACACACATAAATATTAATATTTCTCAATACAAAATATAAACGATGGTCTAAGAGAAAATAAACGTTTGACAATCAATCGACTTTGAGAAATGAATGATATGACTATAGATTTTTTGCTATCAAACACTCACTTCTTTCTTATGTATATACCTATCAAATAAAACAAGTATAAATTATATAGAAAAATGTCTGAATATAAACTTGATAGAGCAATAATTTTTATTTTTTTGAAAACTTCTTATTCATTTCTATTAAATGAAAACATATTAATTATTAATGCAAACTTTTAATTTGTTTCTATCCCTTTCCCCATTTTGATTGTCTCATTCATTTATATTAAATGAAAACATATTAATTATTAATGCAAACTTTTAATTTGTTTCTATCCCTTTCCCCATTTTGATTGTCTCTCTAGAAACAAAATCCAACATTGAAAATAAGAAATCAAGAAAGTATGTTAACCACCATAAAAATAAACAAAGCCCTCTTATTAGTTGCTAAATTTTTTGAGATTTCTAATATTTGTATTCTCATAATTTATAGAGAAGGAAATGGTAATGTATACGATTTTTTTTCTTTGTATGAGAATAAGAGGCAGAAATTACACGAGACAACGATAAGATGACAAAATTTTGAGCAGTTGTAACATATTTTTGCCTATTGACGAAAAAAGTTAATCTGATCATTGTTAAGATGAGGTGAACCAAGCCAAGGGTTGTCGACTGCTCCCTCTTTCTCCTTGATTTGATGCTGACAACTGGTCTCACTTTCTCAGCGATATGTTATTGTTTGTGGTTGACTGGCCGAATTATACTCTTTCTCTCATTCTTTTCTTCATTTCTTCCACATTATGACTGTTGGATGGTAAATTTTCTCACTCTCGATGAGTGAATATATTTCGTCTTTTTTTTTTACTGAGAATGGTCGCCATATACTTTCATGTATATAAAATATAATTAGAAGGGTTAATTGGTTGGACTTAGGGCATACCTCCTTTGGTTGAATAATTGATCGTTTTTCTTGAATGCCTATTGCAACCCGATTTCTTGAATGTTGAAATGGAAAGTAGAGTTGTGATGATTGTTTATTATATTTTATGTTCATGATTGACATGCTACTACTAGCTAGCTATACAATAATGATATGGTTAGTAATTAGTAGGTAGCAAAGGGGTTATGAGTAGAAGTGAACATAATTGGGGTTTTATAAAGGTCGCAAAGAAGAAAGAAAATGATAATTGTGGTTTCTCAGTTGTCTATTTGGATGTTTTTTTAATTTTTACATGTTTGCGGTGACATTTGTTTGTTTCATTAAGGTGAATTTTTCTGCATTGAATCCCTAACTAAAGATTGATTTTGACATGATTGTTTTCTTACAAACTACTATTTGGATTGATGCATATATTCCGTTCACAAATGAGGAATCTGAATGATAAAATGAGCTGAGTTGTATTGAAAACTGCTCCTTTCATTATTTGTCTATGTTGTTATTAGGTAATAAAGGACAATTCTTTTCTGCCAGAGATATGTAGCTCTCTACAAAATATAAATTGTGTTTAATTATATGCAGTTTAATTTGCTGAAAATATTGCTTTAATAAGTTAGTGACAGCTTATAGTTTCGTTTGTGGTTGATTTTGCTAGAACATTTCAAGATAATTAAACAAGTACGTGGAAGATTGATGGACGTGGATGCTAATGAGTTTCCTCATTATTCCAAAATTGTATGTGTAAGTGATAATACACGATATTCATAGGATTTAGATCAGAATATTCTCTATTATCATATACCGACATATGAGAAAGGAGAGAAAATAAAAAGCTCTTCACTTATTTTTTTTTAATTGAAGCATATTTTCTTATTCTAACTTCTTCTTTTGTGGCCGTAAGTTTTTTAACTTCTTTATCACAATTCTGTTCTAAAGAATGAATAATCTCTTATGTTTATAATCTTAAAGGGCGACTTCGATAAAAAAATTCTAAATCAATAAAGAACCGTCTACAAAGAGCTCAGTTGATAAAATTAAAATGTTCATAAATAAACAAAAGGTATAAAAGTATGAAATAATACCTGAAATAAGGTAAATGGAATTTACAATTCCATGTATATTACCTTAGCAATCATAAATAATAATAACAATTAGAATACTATAACAAATTATAAAAAAACCAAACAAAATACACCACCCAACGGGCGGGTAAAAAACTAGTTTTATAAAAAGAACTAACGGTTTAAAATGCAAGGCTAATAATGTTTTCTCGTATTTGTAATTAGTTTCTTTCTCTTTGTAAAAATCTTTACATCTTAAAGGGTGGGGTTATTTAAAAATTAAAAGTGAAACTGAGTAAAAGAATATATATAGAAGGTACCGGAAAATTGGTGTAAAATACATCGGTACCAATTAAGTTTGCGAATTGGGGTAGACATATAACTAAATTTTAAATAGTGCGTCGGGTACCATTAACATTGCCAAAAGATGCATCCATCTAGTTTTCCATCCAATCCAAACTTTTTCTTACTTTAGTTAACTATAAAAAGTTTTAAAAACATCCAAAACTATATTTAAACAAGTATTATCTAATATAAAAATTACTAATGAATTTTTTTCAATCAAATAATATTACTAGAATGATTAATGAATTTTTTTCAATAAAATAGATAACTTAGTAAAAAACGAATATCAAGAAGAAATAAAAAAATATACTAAAAGATATGAATATTTTAAATCAATATTAGAATATCTATTTAAACCTCTAATCCATTAGAAGCACTAGTGAAAATAGTTAAAATAGAACCTAGTCGACCATCAATACAGCAAGACCAAGAATGATAAATGGAACAGAATCATAATGAATTAAATATATTCCAGTAATTGAAAAAATTAGAATAAAAAGAGACGGAAAGTAACCAAGTTATAAGTAAACTATAAAAACTACAACATTTAGTAACACATCTAGAAAATAAAATATGCCTATAGGAAGATGATTAGTAAATTTAACTAATATGAAACATCTACAATATAATATTAGAGAACTATAAGGAGATTTAAAATGGAAAATTAGACATCAGCATGATGTAAGAGAACTAAATATAACATTCTCAGATAATTTATATCGAGACAAATTTCATAGGATATATTTTTTTTAGTGAATAATTCAATTATTAGAACACATAATGATAATTGATTCTAAGTTTTCCATTCAAAAATTGGTTTCATATAAGAGTATTCGAAAGAGAATTCCAGCTAAACAATAAAAAAAAGATGTTTTTCATAGGTGCAAAAGATTTTTTACAATAAGAAAAGCAGGATCAATTATGAAATTTAGAAAATGGCATATTTCAATAATATTCTGTCAACTTTAAACATGTTATAGAGTTCAGTGATACGCGATGTACGGGTAAAATACTTGAATACCACTAAAATATTAGAATTGGGGGAGCTACACCACTTAAATAAGAATAGGACATCGCGAACCATTGAACTATATCATATGTGCACCCGATACCACTTAAGTTCAACTGCATTCCGTTAAAGTTTTGCCTAATCCTTTATATTTCGAAAGGTTTGGCTAATGATTTGAAAAGTTTGAAAGGTTTGACTAATAAATTTTATTTACCCAACAACTTATTATGTATGTTCCTTTTTTATATTGGTGTAAATTAATGATTTGGACTCTTTCATTATAGCAAATAACAAAGTAACTTGATTAAGATAATTACTAATACTCTAATACTCTTTATACCATTGATATTATCAATCTGCCCAACGTGTGAGCTCTAATCTAGTTGGTTATATATATATATATATATATATATATTGCCAAATCTAGTTGGTTATATATACTAAGCCAAAGTATAGAAAGTAATAAGATCGTGTAATTATACAACACATAAAAAAATGGTTACCCCTCCGGACTTTCTCTCTAACGTTTTTTTTCCTCCCTGCAGATGATATCGACTAGAATTAATCTGATTGATCGGCGATTTCTCTATGTAGGTACTTCAGATTCTCGGCGTGGTAATAATCCTACTGGTGTCGGCATCACCGGCCGGTCGTGCCGATCCAGCGCCGGTTCAGTACTCCGCCATAAACTGCCGCAAACACACGGCGGTCCTAACGGATTTCGGAGCCGTGGGGGACGGCAAGACGCTGAACACCAAGGCGTTCGAAACCGCCGTCGCCAACCTGTCCCAGTTCGCTGCCGACGGCGGCGCGCAGCTGATCGTGCCGGCGGGGAAATGGCTGACGGGGAGTTTCAATCTCACCAGCCATTTCACCCTTTTCCTCCACAAGGATGCCGTGATCCTTGGTTCCCAGGTTAATAAATATATTATCTCCCTTTTTTTCAAAATCTCAATTCGGATTTCCATTATGAATTTTTTTTGTTTTAATTACGTACATGCAGAACATGGAAGACTGGCCATTGGTGGCTCCCCTGCCTTCGTTCGGCACAGCGGCGGATGGCTCCACCGGCGCCAGGCACGCCAGCCTTCTCTTCGGCGCCAACCTCACCGACGTCGTGATCACGGGGAACAACGGCACCATCGACGGCCAGGGAGCAAATTGGTGGGATGATTTCAAGAACAAGAAACTCAAGGACGCCCGGCCGTTCTTGGTGGAGATTCAGAGTACGGATCAGCTCCAAATCTCCAACGTTACCTTCACCAATTCCCCAATGTGGAATGTCCACCCCGTTTATTGCAGGTTTTGATCTACCAATTAATTAATGAATTGATTTCCCCCGGCCCTTTCCCATCTTCATAAAATTCCATTTCCTTAAATTTGATCCACCAATTAAATTTTTTTTTTTTTTTTTGCAGCAATGTGGTGATCCAAGGGGTGACCATCCTGGCTCCAGTTGAAGTCCCCAACACAGATGGCATCAATCCAGGTTGGTAAAGCTTATTGCATTGTGCTTTCGTTAGAGGTGGCAATTGGATCGGATTCGTGGATTCGTGGATTCGATTGGTGGATCAAATGGATTGGATCCAATGGATTGGTGGATTGATCCATGAATCCAAATGACATCCAAGGCTTGGACCAAAATGTAAAATTTGAAAAATTTTGGTTACTAAAATGTCATAATGAAAAATTTTAGGTACCAAAATGTAATTTTCCAATGATATTTTTCGTATAAAAATATAAATTTTAGGTACCAAAATGTAAAATATAAAATATAGGTATCAAATCATAATTTGCCATTTGGATCCATGGATTGATCCATGAATCCACCAATCCAATTGGATTTGGATTAGATGGATAATTTGGTGGATGGATTGGATTGGATTGGATTCATAGTTTTGGATCCTAATTGCCACCTCTAGCTGTCGTAAATTCAAATGTGTTGTTAGCTAGGGGAGTCGACCATGTTTTTGATGAACTATGTCTTATTAGTTCCGACACCACTGAATCTAGATTGGTAAGCACTATCGAGTTGCTTATGATTCACATGCCACATTTGTTACTTAGGGAGTTAATTTTCTTCATATGCTAATTAAGCCAGCATGTTCTTCATTTTGTGTGTGTGTGTATGGACCTTAAAAAATTTGCATTCTCGATTTAGGTTTTGTAATTATAGTATGGTCCCATTAAATCACAAATTATGAAAATGAAATGCGTAAAAATTCTCCTCCCTATACACGTTTGTGGCTGAGCAGATTCTTGTACCAACATCCGGATCGAAGACTGCTACATAGCCTCGGGCGACGACTGCATCGCCGTGAAGAGCGGGATCGACCAGTACGGCATCAAAGTGGGGAAGCCGACGAAGCAGCTCGCCATCCGGCGAGTGACGTGCGTCTCGCCGGACAGCGCCGTGGTGGCGCTCGGCAGCGAGATGTCCGGCGGGATCCAGGACGTCCGGATCGAGGACGTGACCGCGATCAACTGCCAGTCGGGCATCCGGATCAAGACGGCGGTGGGCCGGGGCGGGTACGTGAAGGACATCTTCGCCCGTAGGATGACGATGAGCGGGATGGAGAAAGTGTTCTGGATGTCCGGCGCCTACAAGTCCCACGCTGACGGCGGGTTCGACCCCAATGCCCTGCCCGTGGTCCACAACATCAGCTACCGCGACGTGGTGGCCCAAAACGTCACCGTCTCGGCCGTGCTTGATGGGCTCGAGAAGTCCCACTTTACCGGGATCTGCATCTCCAACGTGACCCTGAATTTGGGCCCGGCGGCCCGGGAGCTGCAGTGGAACTGCACGAATGTTGCCGGGACGACGAGCCGGGTGACGCCGAAGCCGTGCGATGAGTTGCCGGAGAAGGCAGGGGATTGTCCCTTTCCGGAGGATAAACTGCCGATTGATGACGTCGTGCTGAAGTCATGTTCGACTGCTTAATTAAGATTAGCTTTGGGTTGAATTTGTGTGGTGAAATATTTTTGTGTATGAATTGGTACACTGAGAAATATAATTATGAAGGGAATAATTTTTGTTTATGAATTTTGTGTATATTGTTGTTGAAAAGCTGAATCGCTATTCGTCGCCCTAAAATTTAAAAACTATCGCCCTAAATTATATTGAATTGACGCTTGTACCCCAAATTCCAATTTTCCTAATCCATACCTCCTTGAGTCGTCTCGCCAACCCGCTGTGATTCCCCTAATTCGCCGAGCCGATCCGATCCGCTCCTGTTGTCGCCGGGGAAGGAGAAGGCAGAAGGTCCAAGCGGGTAAAACCCAATCCGTCGCTGCTATTCTCCAGCCCGCTGACCCGCCGCTGTTTCTTTTTTCAACTATTTTTGTTTAGCAAGGATGCCTTTAGAAAGATGCAATGATGAATCCATTCTAATGTTGCTACGAACTACATAGCAAAACTTTTGTTGAAAACCCCGTCCGAACATGTTCTTCTCACAAGGTGATGATGACGGCAATTGGCCTTAGATGAGGTGGTAGGCTCCGGCGATATGTTTGTTTTAGATTTAAGTGTTTGAAAAACAAAAGATAAATTAAGGGTATTGGAGTAAATTTAACATAATTAGGACGACGAATAAGGATTTTTAGGGCGACGAATAGCAATTGAAAAGAGGTAAGCAGCAAGTTTTGGCGTATGCCGCCTGCATACACGTGAGATTTTATTGAAAAAGTTTAGTCTATAAAATTATAAATTTTACATATAAAATGTAATGACTTAGTGTTATTCGAGCAGGAGGTTTCAATTTGTCTCGACAACATAGTAATTATCATACTCGTAATAAAAGTAGATAGAGATACAATATGACATATTAAAACTTGCATTCCGTGCAAGATACATCCATCTGTATCATCACAAGATAATCATATATAAAGTTCGTAATATAATGTAATTTTTTCTTAGAATATCGATGCTATTTTAAGTTTTGTTATAACTTATATGAAACTATTTGTAAAACTGACGAAAAATGAGTAAGAGTTGCGTCTAAGAGATTATTATAATATTTGAAAAATATAGATGACTGTTGTAAAATAATTGTAAAGAGGAGTAGACACAAGAGTAAGAGTAAAGACACAAGAAGTGAGGGGGAATAGAGCTTTTCTTATTCATGTCCTTCTTAGTACAAGAAGATCCTCTATTTATAGGCACAAATCACATAACCCCTACATTTTTATAATCAATATACATTAATGTGAGAATAAATGTGGAATTTGAATGGGTTGAGAGGTTACATGTAACACCCAATAGTGCATCTAATGTAGTGGTCATCCATACTAATATTTACAGAATACTCTCCCTTGGATGACCACTAGATCGCATTACGCTATTTCATGTTGCCTCATTAAAAACCTTACCAGGAAAACCCAGTGGGAAAAGCCGTGGTTAAGGGAAAAAGAGTGTAGCGCGTATATGCTCCGCCTCATGATCACATCAAAGTGTAGTTCCGTGAGCATAACTTTCAAATATAGTCATGGTAAGTTTCTTAGTGAACAAATCTTCTAGATTGTCACTTTATGCATGATCTATTATGACCATTTTCTTCACACATGATCTTCAAGATAATTTTCTATGAAGATAAATCCACAACCACAAGTTATTTAGACGTGATGGATCATAAATCTTAACCAAACAATTCATAACAAGTCTCATGAATTGTTGACCATTGTGCATGATCAGATGATCTTGTTATTGTGATTTCTTTGGAATCTCCATGAGATACTTGTACGACCATAAGTAATAAAATTACTCATCTATGATCCTCATCATTACCTATAGGTAACGAAGTATAACTCAATGAAGTATAGCGAGATACATTTTCGTTCTAACGATATTAACATACGGTACTTCAGGACCTAATAATTCATTTCTATCTCAAGGCCTAAATTGATCTTTGTTCACTTCTAGTGACCTTATGATCATTAGGTTGTTGAACATATGCAATTTTTTTCCATACAAAATTGTCCTTTCACCTTTCCGACATTGTCGTACTGATCCAAAAAGGATCTTCTTAAATCCTTTATGTTCAATTTTCTTTCTTTAAGCAATCCATGATGAATGAAACTCTTCTAGAGTTCAATTTTCTTTCTTTAAGCACACCATGCTTTATGAAGCTCTTCTGAAGTTCATATCAACTAAAAGATATGAGAAATCTCCTATAACCCTAGGCTTGTTGAGGGTGGAAATATTATTTACGGAAAGTGAACATAGTTCACGACTCTATCATAATCCTAGTCATCCGGGCTCGGGCTATCGTACGTGTACCCTCGTTCCAATAAAAGTCATAACACACTACATTTAGCTACCTGACCTGTCTTAATGACTACATATTTTTCATTGGTAATGAACAGTTGGTTTGAAAAACTTAAGGAAGAAAAACAATATTAGTGAGCAAACTCGTGTTCGTCAATAATAGTAAAATAAATCGTCAAAAACAGAGTATTACTGACGAATTATGATGTCGTAGGAATTTTTTTTGAAATATTCCTTTTTACTCTTCAGATAATCTTTTCCAATTGTTAATATGAATTCGTTAGAAATAATTAGTTAGAAATATTGATTTCGCAAACAGTAGATTAGTGGGGTTGGCAATAAAAAACAACTTTAAAAATATAAGGCAATGATGCAACTCGAACCCAAGACCACATGTTTATAAATGAGAGTCCACACCAGTTACACTACATACAATTTATGTGGTTTTGATTTTTCTGTTTCTAATTATTGTGTAACAGAAACATATCTGCAGAGAACTCTCCGTCTTCTGCAGATCAATTCCATGTGTTCTTCCCCTGCAATAAACGAATCTCAGGCTGCTTCTTCCCCTGCAGACCAATTAATTCTGAAAATTACAATAAATGGTAACGATACAAATGCATCAAAACTGGTTCAACGGATCAAAACTGGAGTTCATTCGTTCATCCAGTCAGTTCCTCTTAATTGCGGCCAAAAGGAGAAAGGGGAAGAACAAATCAATCGAACATGAACCACTATAAAAATCCACTAAGAGCAAAGGACGATTATACAGTTTCCCCAATATTTGAAATAGCAAATTGAGAAAACTGCACCGCCGATTCCCCACCGTCGGACTACACTGCCGGAGTTGTCGTTTCCCCACCACCGGACTGAACCGCCGATTGAGAAGACGACTGGAACTTTAGTAGTCTGGAACGACGCCTGGGAGAAGTCTGGCTATCAGCTGCGGTTTAGGGACGCTGGGACGTAAGGTAAGCAGTTCGTTTTATGTAATTTTTTTCCAACTTTTTTTATTAATTTATTGGTGTTTATATAATTTTCTAGTTGTACACGACCAATTTGTTTTATGGTTAATTTATTATTTTATTGAATGTGATTACGTAGCTTAAAGTGGAAGTAGTTAAATTTCCTAGTTGGTCTTGAATTAAAATTATATTGAATGTGATTAACTATTTGCTTGTAATTAACAATTATTTCTAAATCAATAATTTAATTTACATGAATAAGTTAGTTTTACTTTGTGTTGTAATAATTTGATGTCATCAAACTTCTCCAAATATAGGAAGGGTTGTAACCAGTGTTGTTGAAACCGAACCGGGCAATGATCCGGATTAACGAGAGGTTTAAGGTTTATCGGATAATTGCTAATTAACCGGTTATAAAACCGGTGACATATAATCTACACAAAGTGTAAGGAAACTGAAATTTGTAATTAGTTGCTAAATGTGAATAACTTACTACAAGTAGAATCATAATTAATTAGTTAAAACTAAAATATGAAATTCAAAGTAAAGAATGCGATTTGGGGTTTTACCAAGGTTGTTAAACCCCTATGGAACCCCCCGGTTGGACCCGGTTCAACCCGAGTCGGGCTGCAAAACGGCCTCCAGAAAACTCCCCGGTCTGACCCCTAAACAGGGAGAAGAAGAGAGGCGGAAGAGAGGAAAATGAACGAAGGAAGGGAAATGGTAGGTGGATCATGGAGGTTAGGTAGATTTATTTTGTTGAAAATAAGTTTTTAATAGATATATGTAAGATAAATTTTATTTCACTCATTAAATTTTTAATTACTACTTTATTTGAAAATATATTTAGAAAACGTCTAAAACGGCTCAAACCGGCCGGACACCAATCAGACCATTAAACCTCAAACCCCTTGCTTGACCGGCTCAATGACTTAAACCGGTTTGACAACCTTAGGTTTTACCGTTTTACTGATGGTGGCCGATATAGATTTTTAAGAATTAATTGATGGGAGGAATTAATTGGACTAATTAATTGAGAATAATACAAAGAGGGAAGGACCTGTAGAATTTTGAAAATAGAAAGGTTGTAGATTGGGAAAGTAATCAACATGGAAAGAAACCTTTCCTCTTCCATAATTGCCTTTTATTTGTTTAGTTTCATTTTAGTGGAAAAATCAGTGGCCAAAACATTAAATATGGACTAAAACCGCCGGTCTGGGTCAGTCGATTTTGCCGGTTAACCGGCTGAACCGGTTACCACCCGGCTGGCCAATCCCATGTGCATTTTGATGCTATCGAAACCGGAAGTCTGCCCGGGTTCGGTTTTTCCAGGTTGACCCGCCCGGTCCGGCGCTGTTTTGATAACCATGGTTGTAACCCACATTCACCTGTAGTATGTGGTCATTTGGGAAATACTTAGCTTTGAGAACCCTGGCTACTAAGGAGTCCGAATTGTGCATTAGATTCTAGACTTGTTTTCCCAGTAGAGCCAAATTAAAACCACGTAAGTCCCTAAAAGGCTAAAACCCATACATCCTTCTTCTTTTGTTCTACATAACTTCTCCCACCGAATCCAATGAATCCTTTTTTCTTTTGTCCCTACCAAAACCCAACAATAAGGCTCTGAATTTCATCTAAAACCCCCTAGGGATAAAAAACAAAGACATAGCATAGAGTGTCTGGGCTTGAGCAACAACTTTAATCATTACTTCCTTTCCAGCATTGGAGAGAAGTTTATTCTTCCACAGTTTCACTTTTCTCCTTACTCGGTCAATAAGATGGCTTAACACTTCCCTTTTCCCCCTTCCCACAACTGTAGGTAGTCCCAAGTACTTCTCATGGTGCTGCACATGTCTCATATTTAAGATACCAGCAATAGCCACCCTTCGATCATCCTTTACATTCGTGCTGAACGATATTTCTGACTTGTTTG